GGGATGTCATTCTGCTGTGGGTGGAGGTATTTCCCAGCCTTTACCTTTCACGTGAAATGTGTATAATTAAAGCCAGACTCTCTTAGGGCTGGGACTAGACTTTCTGGATCTTGTTCTGAATACACCTAGAGGTTGGTATTTTGGCTCTAGGGCAATTACAACCTCAGCTAGTTTAGGAGAATATGTTACCTAGGACTGGAATTTTAATTAACCAGTAGAATTGGCAGAAGAGGCTAACTACAGGCATAGCTATTCTAAATGGAGCAAAGTCAAGCAAGGTTGTAGCAGATGAAAGAAAATAAATTTAAGGGGTTTTCTCCCCTTATCATTCCCATTTTCTTTTGCAATTATAATTGAGTAACTGGAAGCATTTGATTATTCACAAGGGATAAAGCACAAGCACAAAAGGAGAACCTGTCATAATTGCAGTTGCGACACTGCCTTTTTTTTTAACCACCAGAAGAATTGTCCTCTCTCTAATCCACTGTTTCTCAACCTTAGCAAGTTTAAGATATGTGGACTTCAACTCCCAGCATGTCTGGCTGGGGAATTCTGGGAGTTGAAGTTCACAATTCTTAAACTTGCTAAGGCTGAGAAACACTGCTCTAATCTGACTTCATTGCAATACCATGTAATGGCATCCAAAGGCACATCAGAGTTAGGGCAATGCTTCCTACTCTACTACTATATGGAGTAAATCTTTTGAAAAAAAAGTAGGGGCCCAGCCAGAGGTATCATTGTCACCAACAGTTCTAAAAGCCATAAAGTATAGCAATCAATTATAAAGAGCACATAATCGAAACTGGAACTGGAGGTTGATTAAAAGCACACTGGCCCTTCTCAAAATGGGGTATAACTATGTTTTCATACTTCAGTGAATATACTCTGATCTGCTTAAAATGTAACACAGTTTGGATATCATTCAGTAATTAGACTTTGAAATCCCCATATTCATTTTAAGGGGAATTCTACATTTACCTTTCAGATACTTCCGTCTCTTCTGTTTGGCTTTTTCCTACCAAGCAGGAAGGGCTGTTCTTTAAGCCCTTATTTTGCAATTTGTGTCCCCCCTTCATTACTGTTGTAAACTAGTAGTAATTTCCCCCAAATTATTGAGACAGGAAACATTTGCAAATTATATTGTACATCCTAAAACAGGTTAAGGGTTAAAAAAATAAAGTAAAACCTCCAAAACATCCTTCTGCCAAGATCTGGAAAAATGATTCCAATCATGCCAATTCTGTGTAACAATGCCCTATCCAGTTTTACTCGTTGCCCTACCCAGATTGATCCTTGGGTCCCACAAAAGTTAATTGTGGCTCATGGTCACCAAAAGGTAGTCTGCTGTACAGTCAGAGGTGCCTGTGAGTCATATGTGTCAAAATCTGTCAGATGATGTGTGCAGTGTTGTGATTGAAATTATACAAAAGGGGTAGAGCTTTGTTTGCAACATTGCATCTGCCATTTTGCAGATTTTGACACACATCTCCATGGAGGAGATGCTTACAAAAATTGAGAGAAATGCTGAACAGAAGGATGGGACATCTTTCCTTCATGCATGTGTGTGTGTGATTATTTTTAGCTTCCCATCTGACAGTTTTATCAGGTTAATTCTATATTTCTTTGAAATGTCTTCCATCCTAGCCTTCTTGTTTTCCTTTGTCTTTATTAGAAAGTGATGTAGTTCTAATTAATTAGGTCTCCACAGCCCCTGTACGAATCAAGACACAGGATTTCTGGTGCTAAAATGCTTTCAGTAAGAGCCATGGGGCAATCGAGCCATGAGGCAGACCTTGGCAGAGAAGACTTCAGTTGTTGTGCACAGCTGTAGGTCAGTGCAGACCAAGTGAGGGCAAGTAAGTGCAACAAGCAAAAAAGAACCCAAAGGAGCCCAAATTACAGCAACACCTCCAAATTTTCTTAAAAAAA